TGTATGTATGTATATATATATATATATATATATATATATATGTATGTATATATATATATACGTGAGAGCAGCTTAGCTCAGTCGGCTAATCTGGCGGTAGCCATTGTGTGTGCGCTGAATCGTGGAAATATCTAGGTCCCCTGTTCAATTCCCATCGCTGCCCCTCCTTGTGTTTCAGCTTGAGGTCTGAAATACAAGTTACAACAGCGCACCGTCTTTCGGATGAGGCGTTTAAGCCGTTGGTCCCGTGTGCATTTATGGCCCATGTGCACGTTAAAGAACGCAGCACACTCTTCGGAAAAGAGTAGAAGAGTAGGGGATTGTCTCCCGGTGTACTGCCCATTCACCACCAAAAGGACCCCACTGGAAATAAGTCTTCTTCTAGAATTTTGTGGGCTATCCTTAATGTTTACACCGAATAAATCCAATCCAATCCAATCCAATACGCTTTAATTATGCCCATAACATTTTACTTTAGTTTCTTTTAGTGTGTTCATTGTAGCTCCACTGCTCATTTAAGTATCGGCGCATAGCTAGACAAACTAATGAAAAAATGCCTTAAAACCAATATCTAAATTCAACAAGCGTTTAAATTCGAGGTAATTAAAAGGACATTTAGCATTACTGAAGAATCCCTGAGTACATAAATGAGGTTTTAATTTAAATTCCCAAAACCCCCTTCCAAATTAAAGATGATAGTTGGTATGCTATGGGTATTCATTAGTAGGTAATAGATATATCGTCCCTCAGAGAGTAAAAGTATACTATTCAATTACTGTTTGAGACTGCGTGATTATAGTGAAATTGTATTGCACCCTTGGCAACAATTGTAAACTAATATTAATATTCATTATAGAAGCAATAGGTAACATATACGCCGATGACGATTCCCTTAAGATTCCTGAATTACTAAGTTTGGAGTTAATCAAAACTGAGTAATGGAGAATGAATCCAGACAATGGCAAGATTAATTTCATTAAAAACGCAATTAACTATTTCATCATTCGTTACTTTTATGAATTGTCTCCAAGTTAATTAGGCCTACTATCTGAAATATTGCACTATTGCTAGGGAACGAAAAGCAGAAACCACTTACCAAGGACACCGATAGATCGATGTAACTTGTGACGTCGTTGCTGTGACTTGATAGCTGCAATACAAATAACATTTATATAATATGAAGAATTAGTGTATGAAAATATATTGAGCTATCATTATTTGAATTATGTAGTGTCTCTACAGGTCGTCGACACAGGTTTTTCTACTGGTTGTAACACAGTGTTTGTCAAAAAATAGACTTTCACGAATAATAGCCTATTTTTTTAATTATTTTTTTAAACAAAAATGAGTTTACCTTTTAATAAACAACCGCTAACCAATACATTTAATCGTAGTATAATACAGTTTTTTTTTTTATTTCAACACAAAATTGGAAGCATGGCTGTATTATACTTTATTAACCTATCCAATATACGTAGTTGTCAGTTAAACAGGCCGAGTAAAAAATGTATAAACATTACTACAGACAGTTAGATTTTACAACATGTACAGAAATTATACAATAATTCAATTTCAACAACCTTAACAATTAATCTATATATGTCACAAAAAATATTTGTTTATAGCAATTTTTACCTGAGAAATTCCAATAAAAGAAAACAAAAGACCGCTGTAGAATAACAAAGATGATTAGATTATTTTAAGTATTTTGTATATGATTTGCAAACAACAACCTATCATACAGAGGCGATTCATCAAATCCATCAGATGACAAGAATGACTTAACCAATTAGTTAAAGTGTGTAAGCCGATATGTTCATACAGTAATCAGTGGAGTGGAGTTAAGATAACTTTCTTCTTCTAAAAGCTGGATATTCTTGTATCCCACTAAAGAGAGTCCTTGTTTGCAATGATCTATACATATAAACCACCAGATTAACCTCATACTAGGCTTACATTTTTGTCAACAACTGGTGCCATTGTTCTTTGACCAGAAGCCATCACTTAATAAAAGATCCTGACAAAACATTTGCAGAGGCTGTTTGGATCTTGAATATGACATAAATCCTTCATATCTCTATGAACATCTTCAATTATGCTAAGTACTCACGAAGAAGCTATCCTATTACAATTTCTATGTGAAGAAATGACCAGAGAAGAATAAATGACAGTGAAATTGAGAAAAGATCGCCTGAAAAGCACATCACTGTCGCCAAAATGTGATTGGACAGCGCCTCTCAGCATCAGTAACTGTTTACAAAACCAACTTAAGGAACAACTGTCAAGTAATGCTTGAAATGTCAAATATTAGGCTAGATTAATAAGGTCGAATGATTCGAGGAGAGAAGACAGTTGCTCTTTAGCTACATTTCGCAGATCTCCGCAGATATTCCTTTATTAACACATTCCCAAGTGCCTCACTTTCTCTTTTTTATTTGGATACGTAAATCTTTCGTTTTCTTCGACACATTTGAATAACAGGAGGGTCAAAACCTGTTGGCCAAAAGTTCAATATAATATGTGATCTAAATGTCCCACCTGTTCATTTTAAAATTCAGTAGCCAATTTGTAATAATGTAGGATCTGTCTATTTCTTGGTATTTATATGGTTATTTTGATTCAATGTTAGCCTTAGCTTTCATTGTCACATGTCATTGTAATTGTCATCGTCATCGTTGTTGCCTCCACCGTCGCTATCGTCGTCTTCATTATCATTATATGATCATTATTATTTATTTTCTATTTCAAATATTTTATTTTCAAAGCGACATCAAAATAACCACTAGTAGAGTGTTTACAGCACTTATGCCTACCAATAGACTCATTTATAACACCTATTTCGTACATATAAAAATCAGCTCATGTCGACATCATACAATATGCAGAAACAATGACCTTACTATCAATATGAGTCTTACCTGAGACAACGATTGTTGGCGATTGTCACCTGCATTAAGAGAAAAGTAATTTATTCAAATTTATTTAGTGATACTATAAGCTTGCTATAATATTTCATTTATTGTGAGGGCCAGAAACAAAGAGGGAACCACAGTACTGAGAATTTACATAAGTATAGTACTTTCATTTTTGACAATTAATAATTTATTTTCTACATCGGACGCAAGTCTGCCTTTTTATCTCAATTTATCATGTCTATATTAAATTATTAAAGCAAAAAAAATATACGGCGTACCGGTAATACATTCTTCATTTGAATTTTAACTTTCAGGTATTATTAATGTACTATGATCGGGCATATTCAATTGAAGAAATCGTAAATTGTCTTCTTCCGTATAAATCTTTAAAAGCATGAATGGTTTTCTAACAATAATGTGCAGACATATTCTTTTGTGATTCATTAATTGACGCAAACTGTTCATTCGTGTAGATCACGCGTACAAGAACATGAATAAACAAATCATGTTGTACATTTCACTGTTCCCTGATACCATAAACTAGATTAATTGAAATGTTATAAAAAAATTAACTAAACGTTCATTACGCACGTACCTTCTGTTTTTTGCTTTGTGGAATATGTAATTGACGTCACAATAGCTAAAACACAAAAGTGGATCCAGACAGTGTCCATAATGTTTATCGGATGTAGTCCATTCCTGGGGTTGAGTTTGTACCTTATCTGGGAATTCTGAAAATAAACACAATGACACTGATAATAGCATACCTAAAACAATAAAAGTATAATAATAATAATACTAAAACTAGTAATGGGGAAGTGGAGTGTCTTGTATTTTACAGGACACAACCAACAAGTTTTTAAGCTTGCCATATTAACCACTGTATGCAAACCCAAACGTTTACCGTTGGTTTGTTCTAGCCAGGGAACAGTGAAATTACACTGTAATTTCACTGTTCCCTGGATCTAGCATACTTTATTGAGTTTTTCTAAAGGTTTTTCCTATAGGTACTGTGCACAATTATTTCGTTCCACCATTAACTTAAGCAACCATCATAAGACTGACAGGTGTTTTTTTTTTCAAAAAGAAAACAAATTAGAACAAGAACAAGAATTAAGATGATATAGAGTTGTTATTATTTATGTTTTTGAATACGAACATTTGAAATTGGATCATCTACTGTGATACGGCGTTTTAAACAACTATGCCACTGTTGCTTAGTGTCGAATTCGAACGATTTAAAGTAATTCAATCCAGAATATCAGAAGTTATCTAGGCTTTGTTACATAATGGAAAATATAGTCATATATTATACATTTTCTTTCGAATTCCTAATAAGTTTCTATTATAATAAAAAAAAAGTACCTATTCCGAATCATTAAATGAATAATAAATTTTTATATAAACAAAATATGCCGTCGTATCAATTCCGAAAATGTACTAAAATCGCGTAGCGGTTATCAAAGTATTGATGCATCTATACTTTGCATTCCCGCTTGTTCATTAATATTAAATACCGCCGTACAAGAAACAGAGGCGCAATAAAAATGGTCTTCCATATATGGCTTGTTCTAATTATTATGTAACTTGAATTCTTGTCAGGTTTTGAAACCGTGTAGCACAATGTTCGTCTTAGGTTTCGAATATAAACTGAGGAGCCAGATTATTTTGACGTCCATTTGACGTGAATGTTGCTAATAAATCATGAATATATAAATGTGCATAATTCAGGCTTCGATAAGATATCATAGCAGAAGTATTACATACTTGATTCAGACCTTGTGTCTCCGCCGAATTCACTTCAGGTTTCTCATTTAAACATGTGACCTGTTTTATTTAAGTTTATATTTTAGGTCTTCATTTTTTCAGGAACAGCTAATTTAACTGTTCCCTGATTTTTAAATATATTTGTTGAATAGATTTCCTGTTAATACATCATTTTTTTTACTCATTGCCTCTGTCGACTAACAAACTGTATCCAAAATAACAAGAAGGGGGTTTTTAGGTATTTATTAGACCGGTAGTATATTTAAAAGCATAATGTGTGTAAAAAGTATTCTTCCGTAGGTCTATACCTAAAGAATAATAAATAAAGAAGCACATAGTGTAACAAAGAATGTGGGTAATTTTTGGTTAGTCGATATTCGTAGTCAAGTTACATGTCACGTTATGCAATCAGCACTTTCTATCAAACCAGGTGATCAAACCACAAATTTTAGTCAATGAAAACTAGACTAAATTATATTTTACTAATTTTTTAAGATATAGGCGAAGATTTACAATTTTAATTGGATTTGCCTAATCAGCCACTTTTCCCTTCGAAAAATAGCAACGAAACCCAGAAATTTGTGAATAATGCTTGTATTAGGGCCATTATTTTTTTCCTATGACATGACCCTCTTTGCAGCATACTGAACTTTCCCTCGTTCTATCCATTCCGACATATCAAAAAGTAGTAACTAGATGTTTTATTAACGTTATTAAATGAGTGGACAATATATATGCTTAATCTTCGCTAGTTAGTGCCTGAATTGAAGTTTACAATAGTAAGGATTAACAGTAAAATGACACATTTCACATCTAGATAGGGAGAAGATTAAAGAATAAGAGAAGTGTATTAGCTAAAAATTTAAGAAAGGAAAACCTGACCGAGTCCCACCACACGTTTGTTAAAATCCTTAATGAAAGTCTTTCTTAGTACAGTGTTTAGCCGATTTAATTATTGTAATGCTGGTCATGTTGCCTACAAATATTTTGTTGTAGCCTATGCATTTAGAAATCTATAGACTATAACAGAGATGGTTTTATGTTTCGCAGGAGATGTAGCATTGAATCGGATTATAACGCAAGCCTGAGGCAAATCGGCATTTCGCTAACCTATTCTAATTATAATTATTATGTTAATTATTTGAGTTACTACCACTGAATTCTACTATTATAGCAGAGATCAGTGGTTTTCCTCTGTGAATGGATGTAGCATTGGGGGATGAACTGAACGTATCGAGATAGGGTATTTTGAGTCGATTTAACGTGCTTAGATTTAATTATCCCTCGCTACTGGCACAAGATTATAGATAGGGCGAGGGGATTGTATATATCTTAACAATCAATTAAATCAATATGCTTATTATAACTATATTTTTCAAACCCTCCTTAACTCATTTACAAGAAAGAATACTTTAAGAGTGTCATCAGAGATACTCTAACATTTTGTTTAACATTAGCACAGCAAATTATTTAAATAGACAGTAAAAAGTGAGTTAACATCGGTGTTATGAAATCATTTAAAACAATCTTGAGTACTATATTTGAAAATACTTAAGTAAGGCCCTATAATACTGTTCTCTATTATTTGCAGTGCGTCAAGAACTAGTGTTGTTCCATGTACTGCACGAGAGGGTGCAAAAATCAGTTGCTTTTAATCGGATTTCAATTTAAAACGAAGCCCCAATGATTAGTTGGAAAGGCGACTGCATAGACAGCATGGTAGTTTCCGGGTTGAAATCCTGACTGGGGAAACTAACAGTATGGGGGCCTATTTATGTATGTATGTACACTGTAATACCTCCTCCATGGTAAATAGAGATGTTGTTCAAGTTTTTAGAGCTGACATTCACATTTATTCATTTTGAGTCACAAAATAGAGGTTATGTCGGCATTATCATCCAATTACCTAATTCTTTATTTTCAAAATTGCGTATTTATGGTTCTACAAACACGTTTGAATACACAACTGCAATGATAATAGCATTGTATTCAGAGTGCTTAATCTTCATGAAATGAAAGTGGATAGCCCTCTCCGGTATATCTTTGTTTTTCTCTGCATGTTACACGTCAAGAGTAAACCGCATTCTGGTTGCTTTACCGTTACGGAATGTAAGTAGTAGGCCTAAATGGTAAAGACGAGGAGTATATGAGTGTACAAAATCGTCTAAAATGATGTCAAACTGTCAGACTCTCGGATTTATACAAATATAAGCAGATACATAAATGAAACAATTACGTTGACATAATAATAATAGCCTAATAATAATGATAATAAATGTATTTTTATATAGCGCAGAATGCTATAAACCTCTATGAGCTTTACATTAAAAGGAAAAGCCGGAACAGAATTTAAAAGAAAGATGATTAAAACAGTCGTGAGCGAAGATCTTTTGCAATTAAAACAAAAAACATGTTAATTTTATGAATAATTTTTATTTATTTAATATAATATTAACGTTTAATTATTTAAATATCAACAAAGTTTTTATCTCAGTCTTAAAAGAAAAGATGATTAAAACAGTGAGAGAAATGTTTTTGCAATAAAAAAAAACAGGTTAATTTAAGGATTAACATTAATCCCTGTCTCTTATACACATCTAGATGTGTATAAGAGACAGATATATATCACTTCAAATGTTCTCGTGAAGTTTTATCTTGCTAAGAAATGAAAATGTAGGTACTGCAGTTAATCTTGTGTTCCATAAACGCAGATACTTTCTAAGGCGGCTGCCTGAAATTCGGTTAATGTTACACTGACTCACGAAAGCACACTTAATTAAATGTAAAACCCTACTAAATAGTAATAAATGAAATCCCAAAATTTGACATTCCTTGGCCTTGACAGTTGCAGAATGTTCAACAAGATGAAGTCGGCAACTTAACGGAAGACGAAGACAGTGAATGAGGAGCTCACGTTTAATCAAGTGAGTGCAATTCGTGCGATTCCCTGAAGCTATTCAAACGTGCTTTCACAATATTTAAAATTATTCCTTAAAACACTCCTTTTTCTGTACTAAATATAAGTAAAAAGCCCCGACGCGAGACAGCAACCTAGGCTAAATGTTTAAAGAGTACAGTGGACTTTATTACCTGATAATTCCTCAGTTATTGATTGCTTTCTATAAATAAAGGGTTCGCGAGCAATAGAGTTACAATCCAAAAACACCCTCAAAACATTGATTCTATCTCTGAAACAGTTACCGCATCTCAAACTCGTTAACAATTGTACAGTATTGCATTTTGTGTATGAAGTGCACGAACACTGTGTTGCATTCTGTGAAACTCGTGACCAGTGCGTCGTCAGCAATTAAAACCATCTTCATCACCACCACCGCCGCCGCCACCAGCACCAGCACCAGCACCAAGATCATCATCACCATCCTCGTAGTCGTCGTCGTAACCGTCGTCATCATCCATCATATCATCAGTATCATCATCATCACCACCACCACCACCATCACCACCACCATCATTATCGTCGCCGTTGTCCTCCTCCTCCTCCTCATCATCATCAGAGCATGCAACAATACAATTTTATATTGTACTTCTGTATGACTATGGCAATAAATTATCTGCACATGTATCCTTTTCTGTATCTGTATTACTATTATTATTATTATTATTATTATTATTATTATTATTATTATTATTATTATTATTATTATTATTATTATTATTATTATTATTATTATTATTATTGAACTGATGCAGATTCATCTATCCAGGTTGACTATTATAAATAGGCCTATAAATTAAATCTTTATGTCTCTGAATAAAGCAGAAAACAAAGGAACTTAAGTTTTATGCTTTCGACTATCACTGTAGTCTTGTTCACAATGACACACGATGGAAATTGCCTCTATATCAGGGCCAACAGACCAACGTTGAATGGAGATGGTGGAAGATATAATCTCCCAAACATATAGAACAACACCTTGAAGGCAGGAATGGAGGAGGAGGACCA